AATCTAAATCCAAAATAATATATTTCAGTGTGGGGATCTATATTTTTTTGTTTTATCTCAGTGTTATTTGCACTAACATGAAACCACTAGGATAGTTGTCCAGAGATTCGTAAATATACATATATATATGTATCTTCAAGTCAGTATTTGACTCCTGGTGACTGCCTGGACTAGGCAATATTCTGCAGGTTACCTGGCAATATTTTTTGGGAAATGATTTGTGATTTCCATCCTCCTAAGGCTGAGCGAGAATAACTGGCCTAAGATCACCCAGCTGGCTTTTTGTGAAAAGTGGGGTTAGAGCAGTGGTGGGCTCCTACCAGTTTGGACTGGTTTGGCTGAACCAGTAGTGGTTTGGCGGCCTGGGTCGCAGGAATCGGCAGTGACCCAGGCCTGCCACATGCCCGAACTGGTTCGCCGGGCAGTGCTATAGGTGCTGCCATGTTGTTTTTGGTCCCGCACATGCACAGAACAATTTTAATCGTACTGTACATTCGCGCGCAGCGCACACAAGCGAACCGGCAGTAGTGCCTGCCGAAACTCACCCCTGGGCTAGAGTCTATCTTCAAACTGGCTCTCCTACTTGTATATTATCTAATTTGTTCCTTTTGTTGGATTTCAGGAAGAGTACATAAATTACTTCAATTGTGTCTACTACTAAATTTAATTTTTAAAATGGCATCATGGAGGTCACCTGGTTTTAGTAAAAGGGAGAGTTTTTGTTTAGGTTATATTACATTATGAAGGATTTATCACTATTATTTTGGCTGGTTTGTTTTGCAAGTTATATTTTGTTATCTGGTATTTTTTTAGGGTATTGGTTCCAAACTCTGGGAGATTCTTGGGACAGTTTTTCGTTGCTGCAGTGGAACTTGCCATGTTCCCATGAGAGACTTTCAAGTTGTTTGCTTACTGCAGATCAAGCTGCATCATTGTTGGAGGTTATGGAGAGGCTGTGGGGTTTGGACAAAATAATCTGAACATGTCCCTCTGAGCATATATATATAGAGAGAGTTTAATTGTATTTTGGACATTGGCCATTTAGTCAAAGGGTGGCCAAAGGATGGCACCATTCTCCAACCTGCTGGCTGATTAGATGGCATGCAGTGTGGTGTTGACAATATCTACTGACAATATTCATCATTATCAAGTTCATTTGATCGTTAGTCATTTCTGGAATTCCATGGATTCGGCTATGATGTGGGAGAGAGAGAAATGGCTGAGACTTCTTCCCCAGGATTTCTTTGGATGGATCATTGTGATGGAAGGAATTAGGCTGAGTCTATGGATCCTAATACTTTTTTAAGGACTGACTCAGGTCTGCCCCAGTGGATGCAAGAGATGCTGGTTTGGATTAATTGGCCATTTACTTATTATTTAACTGACAGACTGACCAACTTCTAGATGTATACGCCAACATGCATGTTTTTGGTACACATATTTGCCTAAAATTTGATTCAGATGGATTTATATGTTAATTTCTTGTTGGAAAAAAATAAAATGCTTTTTATCACCATTTTGTATAATTTGTGCTTATACAATAAAATGAGTTGGTCTTACTTCAAGAAATTGTATAGTTTCTATACAGCATCTATGCTATATTTGTTAGTTTTGATATGAATTAGAATATAAGCTCTTTCACCAGTAGGTTTTAGGACATATAATTATGTATCTTAAAAATGTAAACAGTGAGTAAAAGAAAAATGAAAGCTGTTGCATGGCAGTACCCAGCACAGCTAGATTCTGTACACATCAGTACCCCTCCTCTCTCTCTCAAAAAAAAGTTTAAATTCCTTCAGGTGGCAGCCCTCAATTTCTTACTAAACTTCTCATCAGCTGGTGGAGTTCTCAATAATGATAAGCTGTAAGACAATAAATAATAGTCTATTGCTCCAAGGCAGATGTGCTTTGAATTTTAGAATGGAATAGGAGCCATTCTTTATGCATCCTATGGCTATTATTTATTATGCTCCCCCCCCCCAAAATAACCTGAAAGTGTGTGGGAGTGGGGGTGGTTGTGTTTGTGTCAGTTCTTCAGCACTATTATTTTTCTTTATTTTTCTTTATTTTTCTTTATTTTTCTTTATTTTTCTTTTCCTTTCTTTAAGGATAATTGACAAAAGGTTAAAGTTTAATTTTGTCCATATCATGGCATACATGATGTATAGTAAAAAAAAACATTTACATGGTTGTGGTAAAATAATCAAAACAAAGACAATGCTTTGCCTTTTTTGATGTGTGTGATACAAATTTGAGCAATTTTTAGATCAAAGCAAACTATTTTTAGACTAAACTATATAGTGTTTGCAATAACTGGAAAGATACTTGACTATTCTGATATCAATTTCTTCTCCTTAATGTCTTTCAGTCCCAGCAAAAATGCATCGTGATTTTTGCACTGGTTTGTTGCTTTGCAATTCTGGTTGCACTAATATTTTCAGCTGTGGATATTATGGGAGAAGATGAATATGGACTCACAGAAAAAAACTGTCAAAATAACTGTCGGTAAGAGGTAACAAACAAAGCTTCTTTTTTGGGGATAAATGGCTGCTGCGATGCAAAAGATACACCGAGAGAAAGTTTAAAATTATCTTTAGAGATACAAAAACAAGGTGAATTACAATTCATTTGTAACAGCAATGTGAATGTCAGATTTTTAAAAATAATCTCTAATTCGACAACAACATTCATTTGAATCCAAAGCTCAATAGAGAACATTCTTAAATGTGGGTTTAAATTGATCAGATGGCATGGTCATTTTAAAATTTTTTCTTTCTCATATTAACACAAACAAACATCCAAACAAATAACAGAAATAAAGGTGAATATAATATACAGATCATATTTAAAATGTGATTTACCTGCAGGCATGATTCTGTAGTTAACCATGCTTTCAAATGTATTTTCCTGGGCCTTTTCAGAATATAATTCAGAATGTTTCTAGTAAAGTTTATAGAGGAAAAAATGGAACTCCTTCAGCCCATTATGCATGCTGTTGTTGATAGCTCCACTGTTCCCTTATTTTCTTGAACCCATGCAAATCAAGTCTACTTTGGAATGAGAAAGATGCCAAAGTAAGCTTGGAATTAGAAAGTGAATGTACAGTTGACAGCTTGAAAAAAAGCCATAAAAAATTCTTTTCTTGATCCTTGTGCTTTACACAAATGTAAAAATAATGTATACTTACAGGAGGTGGAACAAGCTGTTCATTAAAAAAGAATACAGGACACTGTATCTTGCCTATTCCAAAACCATGTATCTACCTTAACCCTTCTTTGATATGGTACTAGGGTTTTTGTTTTGTTTTTGTTTTTGTTCTACACTTCTGGACAGGATTTCTGGAATTAGCAGCTGAATGTAACTTATTTATAAACTTTTACCTCTATGATTAGTGTCTCTGTCTCTGTGTGTCTTGTTTTATTTATTTATTAATTAAAATTTATATATGGTAGCTACCCATCTCATGAGAAGTGACTGTGGGTAAAATAGAGTAGTCAATACAAACAATGCTTATACAAAACAGGAATTTTTAATGCTTGCTTTCAGTATCTTTGGGGAAGAGAACGAATTGGAATATTTGTTGTATTTTATATTGTACTCAAGTATAAACAGATCTGTGGAGCCCACAGTGTTGGAATAGAAACTGGGTGACACTGCAGTGCAATCACTATTGTGGACTCCCTGTCAGGCTTGGCTCAAATGTTAAGAAAATATTGTTTCCACTGAACGTCATGAGATTAATGCTTCTGGAAATATGCAATTGCTCAAATTGACGGTGAGGAATGTAGAATACAAAAATGGATTCACCTTGTCTATTGAGATAATGGTGGCTGTAGCGTTGTCCATCAATATCCAAATGAATGATTAATTTGAAGGCTTTGAGAGAAACTCTTTGCTAGAAGTTATAGTACTTTTATAAGTTTAGGCCCTCTCCATTTTGTTTCAGAAACTCTAGGTTTGACATCAGTTGCAATGCTCTCCCAGCCCTATAGGGAAGAATCCATTGGGAGAGTCCTGGACAAGATTCCTATACAAAAACAAATTCAAATAAGATCAGAAGTTGGTGCAGAAGTTTAGCCTGCCATTCTAGTAATAAGTTGGTAGTTGGAAATAGATATAAGGACTGGAAAGCCCATGTGTGAAGGCAAGCATTGTTCACTATTGTTGGTGTTGCTACAATATGACTGAGAAGATTTTGAACATCTATCACTGAAATGATGCAATTTTTGTATGAGAGTCATCAATATAGCTTCTTTGTCTTGAAATAGAAAAGATCTTTCCAAATGAATTGAATAAATTGAATTGATACAAAAATATTATATTGTACTGATGTGTTAGCCACCCCAAATTATATTAAAATGGGTGGCCATGTACATTTTGTAAATCAATGCAAACGAGATTTTTTTTTAAAAAAATTATTTATCTAAGTAATACAGGAACAAAAGAGTCATAGAAACCTGTAATAAAATAACAAAAAAGAAAAGCGGAAAATGGAATAACCAGAAAAAGTCATCTCATGTGTATGTGTTTGAGAAGAGAAGAGAAGTAGCCCCCAACTTTTTGGGCACCAGGAACCAGTTCCGTGGAGAGAGATTTTTCTGCAGACTGGAATGGTGTGGTTTTGTGTGCTGCCTGCATCCCATGGATGGGACTTTGCTTGTTTGCATGGCCCAGTTTCTGGTATGCTGCAGCCTAGTGTCAGTCTATGGACCAGTGTTTGGGAACCCTTCTTTTAGAAAAAGTATAAATAAGAATTAAGAGTTAAATATAAAGAAATTAAAGTATCATAGATCTAAAAAGTCCGACATATCATTAATGACTTTAAAATAATTAAAATGTATTATATCTCTTTAAAAGAAGATGAATCACAATTAAGTTTGACTTGAGAATAAATATCAAGAACTTCAATCAATACAGTATAAATCATGTCTGATGTTATCAGCTGTAATTAATTAAACCCATACTGAAAATCTATTCTAATCTGAATATCCCATGAAGTTAAACTTAGACTCTGTACATAGAGTAATTTAATTTTGGTTGCTGTACAAATCTGTGTTTCAAATTATAGTCCAAGAATGGTTTTCAACTTGAGCTGAATTCTGTGTCAGATTTACTTTTGAAGTACCTTGGTCATTGAAATATACTCTCACAACTAGGTTAATCATTCCTCTGAGGCAGGGGAGGGATTGAAATTTTTTAGCAACTGGTTCTGTGCCCGGTTGCTGTGGGGGGCATGGCGATGGGGGCATGGCCTCCTCAGCCTGCTTACTGGGGGCATATTTTCCCCCTTCTCAGGCACCAGAGGCTTTTGCCGTGCCTCTGGGAGGGCAAAAATGACCTCATCTGGCTCTGGAGACCCTCTGGAAGCCGGAAATGTGCCCGGAACTTCTGGTAGGTTCATTTTTCGCCCTCCCCAGGCTCTGGAGGGTTTAAAAAAAGCATGCATTTTGCGTTAGTATTGTGCAAGTGAGCATTATATTGAGAGCTATGCATAGACCACATTTTTTTCATATCTGAAGAATATGATATGATGTGATATTATTACATGCACATACCTACATATATATACATACACATATACAGGCACATATACCATTATTCCAATTATTTTTATGTCAGGCAAAAAGACAATTGCTCTGTCAAAAGTGTATGGCTTTTAGTTGTAATTCAGAAGAGAAACAGCACTGGAACCAGCATCCAAATAATTCTTGCACATCAATGGATTCCATGTATACATACAGAGTGGGAAACCCTTGATAAAAATAATATGAAATTTATCAGGTGTGTTACAGAAATACTCACTGTAATACAGAAGTACATTTTATAAATTGCAACTTTTATCTTTTTCTCTTCTCTTGTTTATTGTTGTAGTCCTCTGTCTTCTGTATGTTGGAATTTTGGCTGTATTTGAGCTGCTTATTTTACTGTTTGCTGGACTGATGCACACTTACATGTTAGGTAACAAAGGAGATGAGTAGCCATAGATACCTATGACATTCTGGGCATTAGGAAACAACAAATAAGTTAACCACATGGCTTATAAGGATTTGTTTTCTTTAGATGGTATTCATTAGCAGTCTCCATGACTCATCACCTTTTGATTATGCAAAAAGAAATATGTTTTTGTCTATATTGACAATAGACTTCATTCACATTTACATTTTTGTATTTCAGTAAAACATGATAAAATGTGTTAGTGTTCCTTCTCTTGTTCTTAAATTTGGTAAGAATTTAGAATGTTTAAAATCTTTTCTTAATTAGTGTATATTCTCAGTACTCTCAAGTAACTTCTGAATACATACAGACATTCACCCATTCATCCACATATATCTCCACCTACTCACCCACTTATTACTCTCACACTCAGCAGTTCACTGATACCAAATGAACTATTCCAAAGACCTTTCTCAGTGCAACACTCCCCTCTCTTGTCTTAGAAGCAACTGCAATAAACTTCACCTCATTTTCCCAAGCCAGGAGATTCAGTAAGCCATGCAAAATTCTGTCATTATCAACTGGATGACCAGTATTTTGAACAATGTCTTGCAAATGATTTTCATAAATTTCAGCAATAGCTTCAGGACCATAAAACCTAAAGAAAAATTTCCCCCTTGAGTTTCCATTTGCATAGGTCCTAATCAAGTATCTAGTGCAGCCATTGGTACACATTCAACTTCTTCCCACTGTTGGGCATTGCATGCCAAAATAGACAGTTTTTTCCCTTGTGCCATCACTCTGCTAAACAACTAATCCTCACAGCATTGACTTATTGTCATCCAAAATAATATTTCAATTGAAACTCATTTAAAATGTGTAGTATTATTTAAAATTTATAATGGCTCCCTAATACACAGATGTATCGAAATTCTGCTTATAAAAGAAAATCTTTCTTCATGTTAAAATTAAGAAGACCACACACATTTCCTGGGGAATGTGTCTGGCCTTCTGGTCCATGCTCCTCTTGCCAAGAGCAGACCCTTTCTAGATGTCCTAACCAAATCATATTAACTAAGACAATTCCTTAACAGGAAGGTTCTTTGACTACATAGACTGTTATTTGCCCATAATCCTTCTTAACCTTAATATTCTTAAATAGATTAGGAAAAGTGCAGGAAAAAGAATCAAGCTAGGCTCAGTATATATGTAATCTTTCATTTCTGTTTCCTATTAGTAGATTAATGCTGTGGGAGAGTTATTACACTTGAAAGGCAGGGAGATTGAAATCCAGGCATCTTTTTCTGCTTTCATTACTTCTTTAGAGTTGATGTATTTCGGAAACTAGATGCTAAAAATGCATTTTCTTCTTTATTCCTGGCTTTTCCATACCCTATAAGTTTGTTCCTCTCTCTACATGGGTTTCTAGATCAAGGTGATACTGGATACATACCCATCATGTATTCCATTTGGGGTAAACAATGTAGGGAGAGTGCAGAAAAGGGTAAAAAAAATACTAAGCCAAAGAAATTAAAGATCTGAGATTAAAAAAGAAACAGCATAATCTAATT